TTCCTTTTTTTTTTAGGCTTGACTTGCTATTTAAATCCTATAAAGGATAGTGTGTCTCTGCATAACTGTTTAAAGTGTAAGGCTGAAGAAAGTGGAACACTTTCCTTCTTCAGTATGTATTTAGTAAGATTTTTTTTTTAATGTATGATTTGACAGCCTTAATAGTGTATTTCCTGCTACTAGAAACCCACATAATTACTGAACTCAAATTTACTTATTTCATAATGAAATGATGGAGGTTTTTTATAAATTTTTGTGGATGATAGATAGCATTTTTTTCCCCTTCAAAACTGTCATGTTTATATCCTTTAGATGTTATAGCTGATAGCTTCTCAACATTCCTGCATGAAAGTTCGAAGTTTCTCAAAACCCATTAATCCTAGATGCTGGAAGGATCTTCTGCTTTGGACAAGGACATACAAGAATAAGGAGGCTGCAGGACAATGTATGACATCACAACTCTATACATTTGACCTGAAAAGGGGTCCCTTCATATATCACGTGGAGCCTTAAAGGTCCGTGAAGAACCTTCAGCATCTGTCTCCTAATGCTGTCAAATAAGGTAGTAATGGACAAAATGTTCAACACAAACACAGCTAGAGCTAAGCAGGTAAACCACATTGCACAAAACCCCTTGGCCAACCACTGGCATTGAGATTAGATAATTTTCTTTAACAGAAGTCATGTACATACAGAGACATGCACTAGAAACTCCAAGCACTTTTTTAATCCCTTCCTTCCAAGTTTCTCAGTCCTCTATGAACTTGTTTGTTAGAGATAAACTTCTGACTTTTGTATTACAAGCTTTTGTATGTCACAATTAATCTTTTTCCCATGGAGATATACTGGGAATGCAGAAGGACAGATTATCATCTAAATATGGTGAGAGATTAACCTTACACATCATCACATAGAGTCCTTACCCAGAGGGGGAAAGAAAAAACAACCAGAAATACAGATCATTATAGAGCCCAATTCCATCAACTTGTTGAATTTAACTGGACAATTCTGAACCCCCTGGTCACATTCACTATGCCCACAAGAACTAGCAGAGCAGCCACAACTTCCTGGAGATCAAGTTTAGGAATAATGCTCACAACAGAGATCAACCAGACGGTTGGTCTGCATGGACTCTGATACTGTGACTATAGTGATGTATTGCACTTGGGTAAATGAACAAAACTTTGAATTTGCTTGCAGGAAAGTGTTCTAAATTAAAAAATGTTAGGTTTTTGTTTACTCTATCTTTAGAATGAAAGGACAAAAAACAGAAAAGGAAAGGTAATGGCATTGACAAGTGGCTGCATTTTTGAATAATATCCAGGAAAACACTTTCTGATTATCCATACCCTAGCTATATTATTAAATATTTCTCTGTTACTATCTCCATCAAGATTAATTTACAGAAGTATCAAGTTGCCTCTAGCTTTCATTCTAGCAACTGATTATTTATCATTTGTAATATAACTGACATCTTTTGTTTTTCCAAAGATTTTCCAACCATAGAAAAGACCTTGTCTTCAGTTTGCAAACATTTAATAAAGAAATTCACTTAAGCCTACCCTCCTTTACACCAACGGATGCCTGCAGCATGAGACCACACACTTAAAACATGCAAGAGGGTTAATCGTTCTAACACACAGCAATTTCAACATTTGACATTCAGGAGAATGCCTTCTCTTTTTGCCCTCACTGAATCTTCTAATCAGGGTTCCATGTACAAGGTTGTGTTACAGTGGCACTCAACCAAGGCAGCCTGCTCTTATCCTGTCTTAAAAGAAAAATAAGACAACTCCAGAGCATGAAGTCATAGTTTAATCATGGCACACCAGGCTTATACTAGATTTATTTATAATGTTTTGCACCCCAACACCATCAGGTACATAGTCTCGTATATGCTACAACACTGCTGGATGGACTGAGAGGCACAATTTGGGCTTCTAGAGGTGTAGGTGATGGACACTCTCCCAGCATCTCTAACTGACAGCTTCACACATTACAGCAGCCGTGCAGTCTGGCAGAATTTATATTCTTCAACTGAAGACACAGAATGAAGTTACAGGGAATGTAGCAACACTGTTGAATGGATTTGTAAAACAGACTACTTTTGGTGTTACCAGGCTCTTTCTTTTTATTCCAAGCTTACAGATCCATTTAAATATCTGTTACATATTCATAAAATATGGTACTTAAATACAGATAAGAATACTGAGATGGCACTGCATATCCTTCCCCACATATTTTTATCCATACTGTTCCTTATTTTAAAGCTTTATTATATATCTTCACTAAATGAAAATCTGCCATTACAGTATGCGACGCTATTAATATTAGTAAACTGTTCTATCATATTATGTACTAAACTAAGTAACCATGCATTTACATGCACTAAGCAGAGCTTTCATTGCCTTCAAATATTGCACAAATACTTTGCCTTATCCTCAGAACACCATCTCCTCTTAATGGTAAACAAGCTGTAATATGATAATGAACAATATTAATTAAGGTCATCCAGATCACTCAGACTTTTTCCAAGCATCAAGCACCTTTTGCACCCCTTTCTGAGTCACATAACGCTGCGTAAGCACAGGAATTGTTGGCACAAAGTACACATTTAGGCTGTCTGCTACAATCAAGACAAGAGAGAACAGGAGATATGACATATGAACCATAATGCTGTAGTATTCGTGTAGAAGAAATTTTTACCTTAGTCATCACAAGATTTTCTTTAGCGTTTAGGATTTGATCCTGAAAACACTGATAGCAGTAAGGCTAAAACCCAAATACTAATGCAAGAGAGGGAGGTTTGAGAGTTTTAAAGCAGTTATTATAGCTTTAGAATGAAGAGTGTAGTAAGTGCAACAATTTTTTACACCAGCTTACAAATTAACCAAGAGATTTTACTCCTTAATACTAATACTTAGAACTGTAATTTAAGGCACCATTGAGCACTGTGTGATGTTTCATATGGTCATGGCTGGTTTTCACTATGAAAACAACTACAGAGGCTGCTACTCTGTATAAAGCTGTTGGATGCAGACTATATTACTATGAGTAAGATGAATTTTTTTCAGTAACAAAGAAAAATGGACTGCACTTGACAATATACGGATATATGATACAAAGTATGCCATTGGCTCCCTCCAGAAAGTTACTATTCATCTACTTGAAAATGAGATGAATTTACACCTCGTGACAGTTTCTGTAATAAATTAGGTTTTATTTCTTTTGAATGAAACAGGAAAGGATAAAAAACCGAATTTCTGGGTTTGGTGGCAAAGTGCATCTGGTAGAAGAGGAGAACTTGCAACATGTTTTGATATAGCTGGCAGCAAGTCAGATGAATTTCATACCGGATTATCCCTGGAGCATTTTATTTCTTTGTTACTAAAATCCAGCAAAACTGCTACATTCAAAACAACCCAAGAAAATTGTTTTCAGTGTTTCAGCTCAAGTCAACTGATTCTTGTTTCCTAATGCTGGAGTTACTCTGTTAACATGCACAGGACACCAACGTAAAAACACATTACTCTGAACGAGATTCAGCACTGGAAAAATGTAGTCTTCATAGTGCTCTATGGGGCAATATACATAAAAGCTTCTGATAATAACAGAATTATATTAATTTTTTTTTTTTAAAGAAGAGAGCAAAAAACATGAAAACTTTTTTAGACACAACATCAGAAAACCCTGCAATACTTCTTTATTGCCACGGAAAATTGCTACTGTATGAGTGACCTGCTTGCTTTCAAGCTGAAGCACGTTTCTGAAAGCCACCAAACTAGGCTTCCAACGTGGAAAAAGCAGCGTTTCCTACTGCAGTCCTGGTCCAACACAACTAAGTAAACCAAATGCTGCCAGATTAAATATAGAGGTAGGCGAAATAAAATCAATATATCATTCACTAACTTCGAGGTGTATAGGTACGTAAACAAAAAAAGAAAAAGTAGCAATATTTCAGTCAATGTAGGATGTAAACACAAGAAAATATATCACTTGGGCAACATCCTCAGGACATATCCCGACTTCTGTTTGCTGTTTTTAAAGTTTCTCAACCTGTGTCAGCAATACTGAAGTTATAGTTCCTCAGTCTGCGACTACTTCTATATATGGTCAGCACAGATATTTGCTGGGATTTGCGTTTTTCCAAAGTAATCCCAGACAATCAAAAGCCAGTTAATCAGTAAGAAAACCCGCATGAGTGGATCCATAGCCCTTCACATGAGTCCCTTTGGGCTTCTCTGCCCCAAGACTTATACAGCAAATGGAATACTGCTAGTTATGGTTTTAAGTAAATACTCGGGCTCCGCTTCAGACACTCCCGTGGGTGCGCTGGCAGCGCACACCCTACCCCCCGCTACCTTCCCAAACTCCAGCCCGCACTCCGGTGTGCGATCCCCGTTGGATCCAGAAAGGAGCGGACACCGCTCACAGTCGCGGGGACGGTCAGCGACTGCCCTCGGGGAGGCCGCGCAGCGCTGCGCGCCCCCGCATTGCCCCCGCGGGACCGGCCCGACAGCCGGCGGCACGTCGAGCGCTGCCCCGGGGCTCCGGGGCGAGCCGCCGCAAGACAAGACGCCGCGCTGTGCGGCGGCGGCCCCCGACCTCTCCGACTCCGCGGAAGGGCGAGCCTACGGGTACCTCGCGGCGCTGCTCGAGGGGCGCAGCTCTCCCCGGGAGCGGCAGCTCCGCCGAGCCCCGCGGGGAGCGGGGCAGCCCCGCCGCACTCCGCGGAGCCCTCCGGCGGCCGCCGCCGCTGCGACCGCCTGAGCCCCCCACCCCGGGAGGGCAGGGAGCAGCGGGCAGGGGGTCCTAAGGCTCCTCACCCACCCCGCCGCAGGGACCGTGTCCCCAACTTTCCCCGCGGGGAGTCCCGCCGCGCTGCCGGCCCGGGCGGCACCGCACGCCGCTCCCCACCGCTGGCACAGCGCACGTAAGAGAGGACAAACAAACAAAAGCCCCCCAGACCCTCTCGAACCGGCGTTTCTCCTCCTTCCTACCTGCCCGGCTCCCGGCGACCCCGCAACGCCCGCTCCGCGCCGAGCGCTCCCCGCGGCACCCAGGTGGCGTTAGGAGCGCGCTTCCCACGGGCGGCGCGCCCCCGGCGGCCGGCACATCCCCCACCGGGCGCCGCCGGGAGGAGGGCGCTCCGCACCCGCCCGCGACACCGACACCGCCACCGCCGCCGCACCTGTGCCCGGGCAGCGGCACCGCCCCTTCAGTGCCGGCCCCCGGGTGGGCGGGGGCGCGCCGGGACCGCTCGCCCCGCGCCGGCCGCCGCCCTCCCCATGCGGCCGCCACGCGAGGGACACCCCGGCCGCGCCGCCGCCGCTCCGCTCATTGGCCCGAGCGCCGTGAGCTCACGGAGCCCGGCCCCGCCCGCCCGCCGCCGACCCCAGCCCGGCCCTGCCCGGCCCGGCGGGTGCCCCGGGGTGGCCCTGCGGGGACACCGCCGGCGGTGCCGGCGGCCACCGGGCGGCACAGCCGTGGCGCGATGTCGGACGGCCCGACGGCCCGCGGCGGCTCTGAGCTGGTGGGACACTGGTGGGGACGAGCGGGCGGGGGTCTGTCCGCAGCCTTTGCCTCGGGGTGCGGGGAGTTAAAAGCAGAGGGCTGCCAAAGCCATCCCTTGCAAACAGCCTGCGAAGTAGCAGGGACTCACAGAAAATGAGATTATGTGGCAAAGCCTTCTGTCAGTCTACCATGGTTTCTTCTCTCTTTTTTTTTCTCCTTTTTTTTTTCTCTGTTCCCCCCTCCCCTTTTTAAATCTGATTTTATTGGCTTTAATTGAGATATATGAGCACCTATTGCTTGAACACGGTGGTCCTATTTGTGGAGAGTAAATCGTTGCATATTAAATATGCCTCTTAATGAGGCATATAACATCAACCAAATCACGTATCATTATATAGCTCCATAATATGTATTAATATGGTATTTATTCATTACTATCAACTTTTCGAAAGGCCTGCTTAAAATATTCTCCCCTCTCAGCTAATCAAGATATGCTACAAACTCACAGGAACCCAAATAATTTATTAATATATGCTTATACTCAATTAAAATATGTTGTATCAGAAAAACATAAGAAATCTGCATTTTAAAAGATGCTGTAAAAGTATGTTATAAATTATTGCATCAAACTGAGGTGTCTCACACTGTCGTGTTTCTTCTGTTGTAAAAGATTAATAAATTTAACTTGAAATTATTCAACACAAAGAAAGTTCAGCACTTAGCACTTGTTTTTGTGGGCTGCATTCCTCGCCACCAAGTTGCTATGGCATAAAGGAGCAGGATGTGTTCTGCTTGCCTGCTTGTGTATTTCTTGGCTACATGTAAGAGAAAAGTTTACAAAGTAGTGCTCTGGAGAATATAAACAAAACAGCAGTATGTCCTTTCAAGGGCACCAATCCTCCATTAATCTTACAAATAATATTGTTTCAATTATCTACTACATTCAGAATGAAATTTTAAAAACTTGGACGTCCATCTTGCACCTCATGTATTCAGGATTACCTGCCCACTATCCCCTGACAACAGGGTTTTCACAGAACATACCATGGGATCCTTAGTGACAAATGGTTATGACCAGAGACTGTGAAAAAATATATAGAAATTTAGGTACTAAATTTTCAACACTTAGAAAGAAAAATTGTTAGTCTGCTGACTTTAAATTAATTCAATGAGTAATTCACAACACTCTAAAAAATACCAGTGGGATGAAAAAGCAAAACCTGAAAACTATTTACGTATTAAAAAAATTAAAGAATTTGGGTGTGCAAAGATTCCTCTGCTTTTGAGCTGTGGGTGTATTTCTTTACTGCCCACCTATGCTTGTCCTTTACTTTGCATCTCAAAATAGCATCAGAAATAGAACCATACCCTGCACTACTAAGCTGGGGTTTTGGTGCAGCCGCGAAAACCCATGACTGAGTTGTCTCAGGTGACCACTCACAGTGCAGTTGTCCTTGGTGTTTCTGCGCCTCAGCTGCCGAGGGCTCAGAACCCCTACATGTCAGAGATGAGCTCACAGGGTGCAGCCCTGGCTTTAGGATTATATTAGAAATAGTGTACTTTTTTTTATGCCACTGAGGATGTAGCTGCAAATTTGACTCTTTTCCTCTTTGTCACTTGTATTTGTGTAAGCGCTTCCCAGTTGTGAGCACAAAAAATATAGCTACAATGATCTCAGGTTGAGGTGAAAAATATTATTAACATATAGACCACTCATATGGGGGAGAAAAAAAACCTCCAAATGGTAAGTTACAGTATGATTAGACCAGGGTCAAAAAATACATAGCTTTGTAACTACCATAACCTCATTAATTTCTGAGATTGTGGCAAAACTCATCTATGTACATAACGCAGAATGTATTTTAGAAAATACATTCTTAAGATTCAAAGCAAGCTGAGATCAGCTTGGCTTTGAATTTGCCATGTTTTAAGACACGTATCAATACTATATAAGTCAGGGCTCAGTTGCCTAGTAAAATTGTGTAACATAAATATATTTAACCTTGAGTCATGCAAAATGAGTCTTTAAAGCAAGCATATACACACAAAAATCAATGATCCTAGAAAACACATATAGGATAATGTCTTGTATAAAGAAGTAAGTGTCAAGGCAGCAAGGAAGTGTTTAGGGAAGCCTAAGGTATGGGAATAAATCTTTCAGGGACACTGCTAAATAACATCCTTTACAGAAAATATCCATTGATTTTAACAAGATCTTTGGCTGAGAAGAGATCAGAGGTTCAAACCTGAACAATACAGCTCCTAGGTATAATATAGGTCTTTACAATATATTCCTAAGAAGGGACAGAGGTGAAGATATATTAGAATACTGTTGGTTTTTTGGTGTGTGGTTTTTATTTTGAGTTTTTGGGCTTTTTTTGGTTGTTTGGTTTGTATGTGTTTTTAACTAGGAAACATTAATTGATTATTTTTATGAATAAGAAGCAAATCTGGCATCATAAGTTGCACATCTCTCAAATCTTAACTTATTTCTCTTTTCACTGAGCAATATAGAACTTAACTGCCATGTGGGATGCCCCTGTAGGATCAAGACCAAGTCACCATGAGCATTCCAGCCCTCACAGAGAACAGCACTACAAGAAAGGTGGGGATATACAAGTGAGCACCATGCAGCTGGACAACTGGACAAGCAATCCACAATATACACTTTTTGTTGAGGACCACTGAATTTGCATCCACGTCTTTGTTGATATTGCTTCTGCATCCTTGACTTACTGTTCTTTTTCTGCCTCTGTTCATGGCACTGCAGTTCCCAAAGTATGTGCAGTCATCTTCTGGATACACTGGGGTTGTGTTATTTGCAGCTCAGACACAAACAAGCTCATGTAGAAATCAACTCAGTTATCTCTGTTGAGCACTCCTTAAAGTTATCCTTGAAGGACCTTCTTGGACAACACCACTTCCTTGCCTGTGATCTCATTTGTCACATAGAATCAGAAATCATGTAGTTTCATTCAGAAGATCATATGATTAAGATCATCTTTTACATTTTGCTCCTGTCCTTTTTGCTCTTCTGGAACAGCAGATCCTCATGTCTGTAATAGCTAGGAACTTCTAATTTTAAGCCTCAATTTATTTCTGAGTACTTTATTCCCATTCGTCTTGTCTGACAATAGTAGCCTTGACTTGAGCTAGCTCACCATTCTCCTGTGTTTTAATATCTTTATAGTGTGCCCTCCCTACTTTAGCTATTCTAAACCTGTGCTTTCATGGTTTTGTTTCTGAGTTGAGTTTCCTTCAATATATATGAAATTATATACCAGTTTTAGACAAGGTACTAAATACAGCTAGCTAGAAAGAGCTCAGAAGCGGTGAGAGTGCCCTGAAATGTAAGCCATTGTCCACTTTGCTGCTTTCACTGCTACATCACATTTCTGGCTAATAGTTACCTTGTGGCCAACATCCAGCGCACAGCAGAAATTCCTGTATTTACCTTCCACATGTATTATCCTATGTTGCCTCGTTGTATTTCTCACTTTATGCACTACTGTGATCTTATGGTCACTCCAATTTTTTTGTCTTATCACCAGATACTCATCAGTCAGCATTAGCACTGCCTCTGACCATCATCTCACCAACAGCCTCAGCTGGCAGATCCTCCCTTTGGTCAAGGCCAAGCAACTGCTGCTCCCTTCGGAGTTTCATGAGCAGTACGCATCCAGCCTGATGGTTTGTTAGCACAAAACACCTCATTGTCTTCACTTTGGCCAATGCCTTACTGTATTGACATTCTTGTACTAATCCTCATCCTCTTCAGCTTAACTAACAATTCCCCATGTGTCACTGTGCCAAAAGCTTTACTGAGTGCCAAATAGATCAAGTCTGAAGAATTACCCTTGTCAAGAAAATTATTTGTCTTGTCTAAAAAAAAGGATCATGTTAGGCACAATCTTCTCAAACTGCCTTTTATCTGATTTTCATCATGTAAATCAGTACAAACGACATACCACTCCCTAAACTCAGGTGATCCTTGCAGTGCAAGCAAAATCAAAATCACGTTAATGGCTTATGATCAGGGTCACACTAAAGCCAGTAACTAAGCACAGCTGGAACAATGAGAAGCAATTTTTGCAGTTTTCCTAACACCTCTAGAGAATATGGCTTCATTCATGTTTCATAATTGTTTCAGAGAATGTCTGATGAGGATGACAGTGGTTCACAATTTTCCAAACTGATAATTTCAAACATTATTGGATGTAACAACTGTCAGTTCATTTGTGAGAAAAACGTATGCAATCAGAAAAGTGTGCTTGGATGGAGCATTTTCTACACAAAGCTAGTTTAGTCAAGACTGAAAGTCAAATTTTAGGCCAATTACTTGGTAACATAGTAATTTGATTTTTATAGCACTTTCCTTTCACATAATGGGGAACACTTCCAAAACAATTAATTAATCCTTTAAAGACATCTGTAAGCCTTACATAATTATTTCCAAATTTTGAAATTATGCAGTAGCAATAGCAGATCTAACAATGAGGTAAGTAGAAATGAAGTTGTCTTTCATAATGTGATACAACAAA